AGCCGCGGCCTCCCCCTCCTCCAGCCCCGCTGCAGCCCGCGGCCAAACCGCACGAGTTCCCCACGTGCGCTCGAGAAGAAATTAAGAAACTTAAGAAGCAATTTTAAAAGCCCACGATTAGATTACTTACATATCATCCTTAATGTACTCTAAAGGTTGTTTATCTTTACACAGCTGCCTTCTGATGTCAGCTTACCAGCTGTAGCTCCAAAAAAACCATCCAGAGACCAGGTTCTTCTTGTGTCCTGGAGATGATCGTTTGCTGCAGGAAGCAGCCATGACAAAAAGGATGCATGTTTTCCCATTAACCAGGCTATAAACCTTTCAGGAGCTGATGGATCACACAGTTCCGCAACAGCCCAGAACCCTGCTTACTGCAGAACTGCGCTGAGTTCTTTTTCCTCTTAATGATTTATCCAGCACAGGTTAAGGATAATCTCAACATAAAATAAATCAGCATGACTTTCATCTCCTGTACTCTCTCCTCTGTGCCACAGTTTTCCTCACAGTCCTTCCCAAACTGTTACCATCCTCTCCCTCTCTGCACCCCCACATTTCATTCTCTCCTCCAACCTTCCCTCCCCACAGCTGCTCTCAGAGGAACTAGACCCTGGGCATTAAGCTCCATTTAACACAAGAAGCCACATAAAGCAAAAGACTGGACAACAGAAGGCCTCTCTAGCTCACATCTGACAGCTTTGGCAAGTAAGGAACTCCCATTCATTTTGCATCTTTTCTTACTCTCAACACTGTTTGGGTTCTGCCAGTGCCTTGAAAAGGCCCCAAAGCATTTGGAACATTTGAACTCCTCAGGCAGCAAAGCAGTAGGTTGAAGATTTTGGGGGGAGGAGGGGTGGCTGCTAATTGTATGTAATATTATATATGGGAACTGACCCAGTGATCACTTTTTTATATTATAAAAACTCAAATTATTTCCTATGCATTTTTATGTAATGGATTCAAGTCTGTTCAACGTTTAGCTTCTCTTTCATTGTCCTATTCACCTCCCCTGCATGGATCCTGCTCTCAATTTATGCAAGGCTGGTAAGTGCCATTAAAAAGCCTGCAGTATTTCACCCTGCAAAGGGTGCCTCCTTTCCAACAGGCAGAAACACTGTCTGTCTTACCTTAAGTTAAGAGTATTACAGTGCTTCTGAAAATTCTTCACGTGAAGGCTTCCAGCTACCCAAACATCTCAAGCTTGATATTATCTCGCTGTAGTCTCAACCTTCTTCTATTGTTCAAACAGCCTCCTATAGTTTTTGGCTAATTAAGTGCAAGTCTGATGCAGTAAGTGGGATACATAAAGCCTTCTAAAGGCAGGTCTCTTCTTCAACAAGCCTCAGAACACTAAGAAAGTGGTCCACTACTCAATCAGCCCCATTTAAAAAGAACAAAACCCCAAAGAAAAACCCACACCCAGACCCTACTAGGTTTTCCATCTGCAGATTATCCAAATCCATTACCTGTCCAGTGCCAGAGGCTACAAATGCCAGACAAACCCAAAAATACACATTGTAGCAGGCCTAAGGATTAAGGACACAAACTGGGGAAAACATGACCGAGTGCTTCTCTTAAAGTTTCAAATACTTACTGCTTAATTTCAGAATTGGCACTGGTGTTGACACTAACAGAAGCTGTCAAATCCAAGTGCCTTCACAGCTTCCCTGCTCCGGCAGAAGGCAATCTTTGAAGCCAAGTGCCTTCCAAACAAAGATGTTTGGAGTGAAGCAGCTGTAGGCAGGTGGCTATTTACTCACACCAAATGCAACCTTGTCTTTACTGCAGACAAGTGTGAACACTTGTGGATGCGCATGACACTCCCTGGATCAGTCTTAGATAAGAGGGGTTTGTTTCATTTGCCTTTAAAGCACAAAGTACCTATGCAATACAGTAACTCTACCACCTAATCCACCAAAAAAGCATCTTCGCTCACAGCACAAGTACAGTTGCACCCATTTTTCACATCCCAGAAAAACCAAGATGATATGCATCCATTTGCAGGGAAGATTTGATCTTCAGACTCACCCTGCAGCATAATTTACTATCCTAACATAGTACCCGCAGCAGACAAAATTAAAAACAGATCTTATCTACAGCAGCGTCTTCTGTTCAGGCAGGCACATGATCCCAAATAGAACAGGTTCCTGAACTTAAGCTTTGTGACATTACATGAAGCAGCACAGAAGTCACAATTCAACAGCAGAATTAACATTCTAGAAATCCTTACACAAAAGCCCCAAAACAAGAAAGAGACTGGAGTCATGTGGTAACAAGGACTTGCTTGTTGAAGTGTCAGCATCCAAAGGGAGGTGGTTCTAAACCATTTTAGCAAAAACACAACAGCTGACAACTGCTGAGGTGTCAAAACAAAGCTCTCACTGTAAAATTAAGACAATGAAAGTGCTCTAGGGAAAAGGCAGTCATGCAGCATTCCCATGGACGGTAAGGAGAAGTGCTGCTACAGACTCATATCCAGTGTTGATTAAGGACTTCCCTTAAACCTCAGCTAACCCATGTCATGTCTTATGTCACTTTTAGAAATAATTCTCATGGTAACAGCACTGTGCAGCTTTATTTAGTCACTCAGTTACAGTAGTATTTTAGAAGACTGGGACAGAGTCAGATTTTGAAGTGTTACAGATATTCAGCATGGAATAGTATACTACATATTCCTTTCACAAAGTCTTACAGAGCTGATACAGTACTAGCCATCAACCCAGTAGCAAGCGCTCTGGAGTAGAAAAGGATGCAACAAGAAGATAGCTACACTGGAAAGACAACACTTTAGAAAAGTGAAACATGTAAGGTCTCCCCTCTAGCCCCCAAAGAAAGTGTACAGTTTGGATCTAACTTTACAGTTCTACATCAGTTTCTAGAAACTTAAAAAACAAAAACCAAAAAAGAAAAACCACTGGCCAGTACAGTCTTTGGATATTTAGAGAAGGGGGAGAGTCAGTTTCCAGAATGAAGTCAGTCGGTTTCGGCCTCACCAGGGTCTTTGCCTTCTTTGTTCTTTCGAACCTCTTCAATATGCTTGTCCTGAAAGATAACAGCATCGAAGCAGTCAGTTGCCCAAGTTCAGAGAACGGCAGGACTCCAGGTTGGCAGAAGAGCATGTGACTCTGCCTTCTGACCCAAGTTCCCACCCCTCCAACCAACAAGATGAGCCATGACAGAGGTTATGGAAATTAAACTTTTCAGAGTAAGCAAGAAGCTACAACTCCGTCCATCTCCTCTCCCTCAAGAGGATTTCTGCAAAGACTCTTGTAGATTTAATAATCTTTATTAGACAAACACCCAAGGACATCCATCTATTCATAGAGATCCCCACACTCGGCCATTTACTCAGCTTAAAATACAGATATGTACCCACACGGCTGGTTTGCAAAGTAAAGAGGTAGTTCTCCCCCAAATGGGGGCCCAGAACTCTAAACCTACCTTCTCCCTCAAGCGTTCCAGTTTAGCAGCCATTTGTGCCTCGCGGTTTTCTTTGTTAGCTTCCATTTTGTGGGTCAGCTTCTCTTCTGCCATTTTGCTGAAGTTGTTATTTTCTTCAATTGCTTTCTGAAGCACTTCTTTTTCATGCTCCCGTTTCTCAGCTAGCTGCTTCAAGACTTCCGCTTCATGAGACTAACAAAGTAGACCATGCATGTTTTAAGCACAAATGAACTACACAGACAGTTACAGTCAGGTTGTCTGCAATTCTTTCAAGAGTCTTCTGCTACTTCAGTGGAGAATGGGATAGCCTCATGATTCAGGACAAAGCTCCCCAGTGCTTCCCCCTACACCCATAACCCCCATTTCACTAGGGCAAAATACACAGGAAAGTAAGTTTCTGCCATTAGTTAGAAGTTTTGTTAATTGGACTTTTCCCCAAAAGAAAGAACACATGGATTTTTGTTTATACTAATACATCTTTCCAAGAACATTCTTACTTCTCAGCATAACGAATTACTGCTATCCTGGACACACAGGAGACTGCACTTAGATTCCTAGGCCTCTGTTGTAC